GGTCAGCAGTGCTTTCGATGGGCACAGCGGCTCCCTGACCCCAGCTGTGATTCACTGATGTTGTGCAGGAAGAAAGCCAGTTGGTCCAGTGTAGTTGTATATCCAGATCCAAATTTTCTGTTTTCATGTCACTTTAGCACCTTCTTACTTTCAGCCCAAAAGTCAAATCCTGAGAAACGTGGAGTTCCTCTGTACTGTGGGTGAGTTATGTCCCAAGCGCTCGCTGTAGGATGTCGGGATGAGGACGAAGTCAGACCCCCACGTCCCTTCCATAAGGACAGGCTTTGCCTTGGGCTCTGGGCTGCTCCTCTCTTGGGGTAGCCCTTCTTCTCAAAATGAGCTGTTGGTTGGTGGGAGAGGGCAGGGTGTTTGTGTATGTTTGAGGGGGGGGTTAAGATCTAAATGAAGCAGGTATGTAATGCCCTCTGTCTGTTAGAAAGACTCAACCCATAAAAATAACAAACGGCATGTATTTGCTAGAATGTCAAAGTTATGAGTTTATTTTGTAATGATGTGCTCCTGCCTTCATGAGGTAAACTGGCCGTGGCAGAGGTGTTATTAGTAATATGGACTCAGCGGAGCAGAAAGCCGAGTGACCGAGAGATCAGTGTATCAGTCAGCGAGAGGGCAAATGGGAAGAGACAGCAGGAGAATGAGAAAAGAGCTGCGGTGCCTGGGCTGAGATTAGAGATGGAGCCGTGCAGGAGAATTGGAAGCCCAGCAGTCAGAGTCTTATTCTTTGCAGTCTCTCTAAGGAGCTGGTGGAGCTTTATCTTTGCTATACCCAGCTTTATGCACGGGGTTGGTTTTTTCCCCAGTTAAAGGTTGAAATCAGTCCACCCTACCAGTCATCTTAGTCAGAGCAATTTCGAGTTAGTGGGCTGAGCTCGGGTCAGCACCCAGGATGCTGGGTCACGTATCAGCCCCATTGCTGTCCTGGGGAAGGGCAAGTCATATAGCTGCCCTCTGCCTCAGTTTCCCCACTTGTATCCTTCCCCTTGGGGATCACTACTCATAAGGTCTTAGCTGCACACAGGGTTTGGGAAAGTCTGTTCGAGTGGTTTGCTCCATCCTTTGGTGTTGAAATGATCGTGACTTGCTGCCGGGAGGGACTGGTACGTACCTCCTTAGCCAACACCTCCTTGTCACATCCCATCCTCTGATGGTTTTCCTGTGTTTCTTTCAAAAGGTGCTTGGACGGGAAGTTTACACCTCCAACAACCAGCTGGGGGGGATCCAGATAATGCACAACAACGGAGTGACACACGGCACTGTCTGTGATGATTTTGAAGGAGTCTACACCATTCTGCAGTGGCTTTCCTACATGCCAAAGGTAATTCCAGGCCTTGCAGGAGCTCACGGGTGCCGTTTCCTATTTGCTTTGTTCACAGGGTTGTGGGCGGTGGGGGGCTCTCTATATCTGTGGGCTTTTTCTGTGTTATGGTGGCTAGCCAAGTGGTTTAGGCTTGTGATTGAGGCTGTTAAGCTTTATGGTACTGGAGTACACAGATTTTGGCTTAAGGTACTGCAGGAACTGGGATGCGGGGCACGCTGGCACTGCCTCGGGTACTTTCACATCCCTTCCCTGGCATGCTGCCCTCAGCGCTCTGGGCAGCAGGATTTTATGTAAGCAGTGGATTGTCTCTTACTGAAAAGACTCTGAAAGTTCCCCTCCGAGGCAGTAATTTGTAGGAGTTGATGTATATGTGTAAGCTGCTCTGCAGCCGGGAAGGCAGCAGCACGAACACACAGGTCACCTTCCTTCAGGAAAGAGGGCATAGAATGAGTCAGGTGGCCTGGTCACCTTTCAAAAATTAAACTGCAACCCCTCGCTAGTGCTGGCTATGTCTCAAGTTCAAGAGCAAATGAAGTACAGCAGATGCCATATGATGCCAAAGGAGGGTTTGAGAGAGTGTGTGGAGCGCCTTGGAAGTTTCTTTGGGCTCTTGCCATGGCTCTAGGGTCCCGTCAGTTGAAGGGTTGTGCAGTGTGGGGAAGGGGGACTCTGACCAGGTCCTCTGGAGCCAGTGTTTGGTGCAAAGCCATGCAGGAGAATTGCTTCCTTCAATATTTTTCTTTTTCTCTTAGAGTGTATACAGCCCTGTTCCTATCCTCAAAGTCAAGGACCCTATAGACAGAACCATAGACTTTGTTCCTACCAAGACTCCCTATGATCCTCGCTGGATGCTGGCTGGACGCCCAAATCCAAGTAGGTGTATCTTGGTGGCTGGGGTACACAATAATGTGTCTTGTTTCAAGACTGTTTGTCAAAGCTTTATGTCTGCAAACCAAATACATTTCAGAGCGTATAGAGTAATTAGTTCTAAACAATTTAAATTTAATATATAGAAATAGCATGCAAATTCTGAGTGCTTGAGAACACTTAAAATTAGTAGTTACTTTTATAGGTTTTTTTAGTGGTTCAGAGGAAAGCCCATATCCCAGACTCTTCACGCTAAAGGATTCACAGTATTCCTGCCAGTCTTGGCAAGCGATGATGTTAGAAACACTGCAAACCACTGAACCCCCACACATGCTTTTGGGGTTGTGCAGCCTGTGTTCGTACAAGCTGCAAACTGGGTGACCGTTATGCCTGCTGTTATTAATGAGTTTGGGGGGCTAAAATGAGACTTGTGATAAACTAAGTTTTCTGGTTTTGGATAATATTTTTTCATCATCTCTCAAGTAATTCATCCAGCTGTCTGAGTGCAGCTAACTCTGGCTTCCAAATCGAGTGACTTCAGATTTTAATTTAGTGGAAGCGTTAAGGAAAGCAGATGATTCCCTGTGATAAGTTAAAGCAGATATCTCCTAGGTGAAAAGTTAAAGCCATTTATTAGAGGAGATATTGCCGTGATATTCTTCAAACTGACGCCCGACACGAGGCCAGAATCTAAACGATCAGCTTTGGGCTCACGATAAAGAGATAATTTTGAAATGGATGGTCACATTTTACAGTGGGGCCACAGAGGCAAGGAATGTAGAACACAGTAATTACAAGTTTGGTCTTGATAAAACACTCTCCATCCTGTTTAAGTCAGCAGAGGTTAGCTTGCTTGGATCTCCACTTTTAATTGGTTTTGGACTTGGGTTTGCAGAAGCAGAGGTGCTTGTTCAGATTAAAGCATTCCTCAGAAGCTGTGTGCCAAGGGGTAAAGCTGGGCGGGATTTTGGGTTTGTTTGGGGTTTTTTTTTGCAGAGCTTCAGGAAGTCCCCGTGGAAAGCAGGTGCCCCAGAGAGTTTTGATTTCTGTAATTGAGTGGGTAGAGTATCTCGATGCCTGGACTTTGGGATATACAGCTTACACAGGCTGGAGGACTGCAAGAAGAGAGCTGTCTGCAAATCTTGTCACTCCCCAGTCCGGCATCAGCAGTCAGCCCAAAACGAAGGCCCTTTGTCGTGTCCTTATCTGTTCACTGGAGTAAGGTCCAGCTGAAGTACTGGAAAACCTTCCTGTCATGTTCTTCCTGTCTGGAGAGAGGAAACGGTGCTGTGGCACTGCACACACTGACATGGGGAGGCTTAACTCATTTCTGGGCCTGCTTAAGAAACACCCACGAAAAGCAGACAGCTGCACCGTAAACTGCCACCATGCTTCCCTTTGAGCCTCATTGTCACCCTGAGAATTTTATTTGAAGGAATGTGTGTGTATTGTCAGCGCTCAGATCTGTTGTTGCACATGGGGGTGGGAGAGGTATTGTCAGTACATCAGAGTTTGGGATGCAGGAGGAACCCCAAGACTGATCCTTCACTGGCTTTATAAGGGGCAGATAATACTAGTTCATAGTTAGCACGATACGCCCTTGTGCTTCAGGGTGATTCTCTGCAAGGGTCAGGAAGAGTTTATTTCTCTTAGACTGCACAGTCATCTTGGTAATGTGCTCTTCGGGAGCAGTTTGATTTCTCTCAAGCATTAGGAAGTTGCTGCCTTCTTTGGGCAAGAGAATAGGTCAGGTAGCATGTGGTCTGATCCGGGCTGAGGGCTCCTAAAGCATGCTTTAGCTCTGGAAGCGGAGCGTCGTCTGGTGCCTTCCGCAGAGCAAGTCAGCTTATGCTGTCAGAGCACTTCAGTTGTTATAAAAGAATGTATGGTCTAGTTTTAAAACGTCAAAGAAAACTTGATATTTAGTTCCTGAATTTCTTCACCGTTCTTTCCTTAAAGGAAAGATTAGGCAGAATCAAGAGAAAAATGTGAGATGTTTGAAAATAGAAGTAGGCATTTTGAAAAACATCTTTAATGACTTTACTGCTTTTTGACAAATGTTTGTAGTGTCTTGAAAAAAACAGAGTTATTTATTTAAAAGCATGCGAAGTCCCTCTGCTATCTGAACCCCATCGTTTAACAATAAATGATGCTTTTGCTGATAAATGACTGTCTTTATGCAGACTAGCAAATGAGATAAGACATGATGGCTGAAGGCAGACAAATGCTCAGCTGTCTAATGTTCCCTTGTATTATAATCTATTTAAAAATAAATAAATAAAATGACAGTGCCACGTTCTCCGTTGGCGTTTTTAAGCATGTTTCAGTTGCTTCTTTGATATCCTCTCTTCTTTCTTCCCTCCCTCCTTCCTCCTCTGATATTTCCTTTTTTTTTTTTCCCTTCCCTTTAGGTCAAAAAGGACAGTGGCTAAGTGGTTTCTTTGACAATGGCTCGTTCCTGGAGATCATGCAGCCCTGGGCACAGACGGTTGTGGTTGGTAGAGCAAGGTAAATTCTAAGGGGCATTTTAGACACTTGTAGAAATCACGTTTTTGTTATGCTTTGTGTTTTTCTAGAACCTCCTTTGGAAGTTCATGGCTGTGAGTAAAGTCATTATTTGAACAGGATACTTCTCTACCACATGAATGAAGTATGGTCTGATTGATTCTTCTGTTTTGCTTGGAGGTGACAGCTTTAACATGCACAAAAGCCAAGAAGAGAGATAGTGTTAGAAATTTTGGCAGACAGTGTGTGCTTCCCTAGGTCCATGGTTGTGTAGTGAAGCCCTGCAGCTCTGACTTAGGTGAAGGTACATGACACAGTTTATTGTTTTGCTATCTTGGCAAACTTTGACTTGCAAGAAAAGTTCTGCTGAAACTAGAGAAAATTGCAGAAAACTCTGCCTAGAGAAGAGCTCACCATTGAGGTCTGCTTGGCATAACTTGCAGCATTTCCCAAACCAGCACCTGCTATGCCTGATCTTAGTTGCTTTTCATGATGCCGAGTGATGCAGCTCCAGACCTGCGGCATTCAACTCCTCCCGAGGGCAGTCACCTCCCCTTACCGTGCTGCAAGGTGGCACCTGTGCAGGATTCTAAAATGTTCCCTCTTGTCTCAAGATATAGACCCCAGCCTTTAAATTATTTGCGGCCTGTCTCACTCTTGGTGTAGCAGGCCCGTGAGCTTTCAGAGCTAGCAGGAAGCAGATCTTGCATTTTGACAGAAGGCAGATCAGAGCTGGGCTCAAACCCCCCACAGTCACCACTTTTCTAGTCTCTTCTTACTTTTTTACCCCCTCTAAAATGGCACTGTGAGTTTCCTGATCTGACTGTCTACTTCCTCTCAGAATAAAGCCATTTTGAAAGAGTACATTTATCTCCCTTGAGTTTCCACAGCAAGTGCTTCAGCTGTCCAAATGCAGCGTGCTTATCCTTTGTCACACCTCGTTCCTCAGACTGCCGCCAGCCCTCCTCTCAAGACAGTGCTTCATACACTTACCTCCAGCAGACTCCCACTTCCTAACTGATGTCAGTGGTTTTGGTTAATTGACAGCCTTTTCTTTTCTTTTCTTTTTTTTGTTGTTAACAATTGAGAGGGGAGAAAAAACCCTCAAGTGCCTGAATGGGATCCTGGAGGCTTCAGGTGTTACAGTGAATGAGATTCGGTCCATCTTTGATTTACAGATCTGGCACCTCCCGTACTGTCAGTATTGCAGTGCCAACAGTCCAGAACCAAATTACCTGGTAATGCTGTTCTGGAAATCCTGTGGCCACCCTTGGGTTCTGACTCCATCAGCCTCTGGCTTCACCAAACTGGTGACTCAAGGACTCACTGTAGTACCAGGATCATAGAATTGTAGAACCTTTTAGGTTGGTAAAGACCATTAAGGTCATGGAGTCCAACCGTTAACCTGACACTGCTAATGCCACCACTAAACCAGCTCTCTGAGCACCTCACCTAGACATCTTTTACATACCTCCAGGAGTGGTGACTCCACCACCTCCCAGAGCAGCCCATTCCAGGCTATCCCTGCTGATGCTGTGTTAGATTACCACACCACCTCCCAGGGCAGCCCATTCCAGGCTATCCCTGGTGATGCTGTGTTAGATTACCAGAACGTGCAGTGGGACACAAGGAGACATCACCATTCCTGAAACACAGCACAGCTGGGATGGCCGCTGCGCTGCCAGCCAGTGTAGCCATGAGTCGATGCTGCTCCTCATCTCCATTATGTTGACAGCACACGTGGCCCCGGAATATTTGGCACTAGGAGCTCCTGTTTCTCTTTCAGACTTTTTAAAGCCACAGCTCTACAGAGTCCTTCTGGTGAGGGTCAGAGAGCCAGAGGTCATGGTGTGAGGCACCAAGGCTTATGGCGTTCACTAGAGCTCATGTGCAGCATCTTTGAGATTGTGCCCAGTCTGGACATCTCCAGCACAGCCATCAGGAGCTCTGTCCATGGGCTAATGAAATGCTGAATAATAACAGAAGGAGGCTTCCAGAAAAATGTTCAGCGAATTGTCCCTCTGCAGCTCTTAAGACTTTTGAGGGTCTTTAACGTGTTTAGAACTGCCTCTGGACTCTCGTAGTGCAGAATGTGATGCAGAGAACACACCCATTTCCTCAGGTACCCAGGGCAGGAGGAGGACTCTGAGCTCAAGACAGAGCAAGGTGTCAGTGCACAGACAGCACAAGCCCAGCTAGAGACGAGGTGTTCAGGTGCTGCTCGGCTCTGCCGCCTTGGAGTTTCATGTCTGACCACTGCTGGTCCCAGGGATCTGGGAGCTATTACCCCTCAAGATCATTTCCACTCAGAGTATTGTCTGATTGTTACACATTGTTGAGAGGAACCAAAGACACCTGCTGACTCCACTTCTAACTGTAGCACATAACTTTGGGATGTCCTGTGGTCTTTTGATACACTTTGGTATTTTCGTCTGCCATTGTGACACTCACGTACTCAGTGTCCTGTAATTACATAAAGGCTTTTAGGTTAAGCAGTATACCAGGGAGTGGGGAGTGGAGAAGTAAATGATCTAGCAAAGCTAGAAGGTGTCTGTCCAGGCCCATGCTTGGCTTCGCTTGCAGTTTCTTTCTTCTGACAAATTCCAAGTTGCTTCGGACTCTCACACATAGGTATATATAATACAAATGAAACTGAGTTCTTTCAAAATCAGTGGCATTTTGAAAAAACAAGTATGAATGTATTCTTCTGGGATTGTTACTCTAAGTGCTGCCAAAACTCATCTTTTGTATGTATGTTTGGAATATGTGTGCTGTTGGCTGTAAATTGTCTTTTATTATTCTATGGCAACTTGTCCAGGGACACACTATAAAACAAGATGTAGCATCTTCATGTGCTAGCCTGATAAAATTTATATGAAGTATAATGGAAAACAGAAGTTGTTTTGAGCTGTTTTCAAGTTCAATAAATAACTGTAATACTTGGATAAAGATGTTCTTTATTAGGTCACATGGGCCCTAATATAGAAGTTATAAGTTACCGATTTAAGACGGCTTCTGCAATTACGGGTTTCTAGGCAGACTCTTAATCATAGTGAATGGGAATATTTTCAACCCCCTAGTGCACACAGGCCTTGTCTCTTTTTCTGCCTGCAGCGTGTGTCATCCAGCTTAAGGTGGTTGAGGGGAGAGTGTCGGCTCTGCTGGGACTCTCGTCCTGGGAGTGAGCAGTTGTCATCGCCGGCGAGATGCCTTTTGTGTGAAGGAATGGTTAGATGCTGTGGAAAGTGGAGCCGAGCATCCTCACTGGTGCCTACGCTCCCTGCTCACTGTGGTGTCCCTGCACCCTTCCCACCCTTGCAGTCCTCCTGCAGCAGAGGGTCCGGGGAGGAGGTGGACAGAACAAACCCAAACCTTTACCCATCGGTCGCCCTAATCTCCTGGGAGGGGTAGTTTTTGCAGGCAGTGGATGTTCAGAGTGCCTGAGACATCAGCATTGCTTAGACATGCAGCCTGTGATGTATTTCATCTGCTGACAGTGCTTGTGAAAACAGGGGTTGGGAAGCCTTGGGTCTTTGCATTTGTTTTTCATGGTCAGGACTGTCAGTATCAAAATCTGTGTGGTAGCAGGTGGAAGGTGGTGGAGATGTAGCTTCATCATTCAGAATTTGGGCTTCGATTTATTCTGTTTAATTTTTAGTGTGGTATGTGGTAATTTTTAGAACTGGATTTTGCTTTGAGAACTGAATTCCACGCTGAAATTCTCCAGCCACATGCCTAAACTCCTCAAGGAGGCCAGAATGCTCCTTCCACTGCTTGCATTATTTGTCTCTCTTGAGTATTTTGATGCAAATTGGAAAAAAATTTCTAGCTGTGTAACAATAGAAATATGAATTTTGATTCCTCTTGCATGTTACCAGGCTGGGAGGAATACCTGTAGGAGTAGTTGCCGTAGAAACGAGAACGGTGGAGCTCAGCATCCCTGCTGATCCTGCAAACTTGGACTCTGAGGCCAAGGTAAGTTGAACGTGTGCTCGTGGCTTGCTTGTCCTCTGCAAATGTCTGTGTGGTAAGAGTGTTTGTTTTGATGGGATTTTGGTTTTGCATATCTTTTTCTCTCTCTTCTTCACCCCCTTACAGCAGTTGTAGTGCCAGGCTTTCCATACCCTCCCTACTCCTCTTTCTGGCTAAATCGGTGGGAACACTCCTGTTGATGTTGGTCACAGAAGGATTGTCCTAGTTTTTCTGCGGACAAGCAGATCCAAAGCATTTCATGTGCTGCGTTCCTCGTTGTTGGTTCCACGTCACAGCTCTTGTTGCATCTACTTCTGTATTTCTGTGCTAACCCTTGTGTTAATCTAACTGTTTCAAGGCGTAACGACCCTTTTTTATTCCCAACAGATAATCCAGCAGGCTGGTCAGGTGTGGTTCCCTGACTCTGCCTTTAAGACTGCGCAGGCTATCAATGACTTTAACAGAGAAGGGCTGCCTCTGATGGTCTTTGCTAACTGGAGAGGCTTCTCTGGTGGAATGAAAGGTAACCATCCGTTTGGATCGCCTTCTAGTGTTGCAGAGTGGCTTGTCTTGTGCCGTGGCATTATGGCACTAGCTCTACCGGATTAGCATCCTGAAGTGGTTCTCTGGGAACAGGCCAGCAGTGGGAGTATGTGGCAGGGGACAGGAACAGGTCACATTTTTGGGCAGCAGCTAGCTATTGGATTGGCCTGACGGTGGTAACAACTTGTACACATTAACTTGCAGAGTGGATCTGCTTCGCCCGTCTTCGATGCAGTCTGCATCCAGCCCCCCTCTTTCATGGCAAGCACGTGACCTCCCTTAGGCTTGCTAACACGGCGTGCTTTTTTAGGCCCACCAGAGTGTTTGGACATGTCAGCCCCCTGAAATCATGTCAGTTCTCTGCCCAGCTCTGCTGAAAGTCAGCTGTGATCGTTGCACAGTCAGCTAGAGGAAAGGGAGGCTCTACGCTGCAGTAGCTGTGGTGAAGGAAGGGTTTCATTCCTCTCCTCCCCATGTCTCTTGTCTTAATAGGCACATAGCAGGAATAACATGGAATATGCAAGGTGCACGTTTGACAGCAGGTTCTTTTCAAAATAAGCAAGTTCTTTTCATAATAAGCAATGCAGTTGTATTTTTTATGTACCCTCATACACAATTATAGAAACTGGCCAGATCATCTGCAGTGAGAACAGGTAATTGGATGTTAACAGTGGTCTAGTTGCGAACAAAATTTACAGCTGCTAACTTCGGCTAATTAAACACTGGTCTCAGGAAACCCATCCTGCTTGCACAGCCCTACATGCTTCTGCCTCAGCTTAAAATTGGGGCTGGATAAGCCAGCAGTGTTGCATATCAAAAATGTATAGGCATATTCTGTAAAGTGAAAACGTTGTCTCACTGGTGATTTTTCCCACTGCAATTGTGTCATGTCAAGGACTGCCTCCCAGCTGACTCTCTTGGTGGTAGTAGTGATGTTCATATGGAGTGAATAGTTCTAAAACTGCTGCGTTAATATACCAGCAGTTAGATTTTTGCACCACATACTGCTACTTTACATTTTGTGAAGTGCCAAGAATGTGAGACCGGTACTATAAAATTTTAGTAAGTAAAAGATTACAGCCTCTTTACCTGCATGTGGCACTTAACAAACACAGAAGAAAAGTTACGGGTGCTCTAACATGGTAAAAGTTCCTGCTCTGGAAAGACTGGCAGGGTCGCAAAGGCTGCCCTGCTCTGCTGTCTCATTAGCAGGGCAGAAAGCAAGATGCGAAGGTAGAAGATAGCAAAATTCTTTCCTCTGGCAAATACCTGTTACCTTTCGGGATGGTTTCTGCTCCATGTGCTGCTATTGCAGTCCCTTTGTGACTTGCCTCCCCTACCACTCAGCTGACAACGACATAGTTGGTTACTGAAGGCTCAGGAAAGTTGTAATATTATTTTGCCTCGCTATGTTGCAAGATCTGTTGGCTTTGCCAGTGCCCTTTGCTGGGTTCCTCAGAACCCAGGTTTAGCTTTGGAGTTGGAACCAGAAGCCCAGGGTGGAGAAGGTAGTAAGAGGATGCTGATAGTTCCGTTGCATCTCCCCAGCCGGTAGCGGGAGGAGGAGAGAGCTGCGGCGGCGAACGGAGCCGTCGCGGTTGGCACCTTGCTCCGTGCCTGTCCCTGCACATGGTCTGCTGCTGGCGCCCGTGCGGCGAGCCTCGGTCTCCCTGACACTCTCCTGCGATCCTTGGGGAGCTGTTTGCAATTTCGGTTTCAGTGCTGGCTGGGGATTATGCAGGGAGGGAAAATAAACAATTATGCCACCCCTCGGTGCACACAAACACACTGCCAGGAGCCGACTGCACTGTGGGTAAAATGACTCCAAAATTGTGTGTAATGAGTAGGAAAAGATTAGAGACAGCTCTTGCTATGCTGAAAATTGACATTAGCAGAGGGGAAAAAAAAAAAAAAAGAGAGCGGGGGGGAAAAGCCCCTCTCTTTACTAGTCAGCCTAGGAGGTCTCATTCGAGCCATGAAATAAATAAATAAAGAACGCCAATAAAGGCCTGTCGCAGTGGCATTGTGGTTTCCCCAGTGAGCTCTCTCTGGCCGGAAGGCTATTCAGCATAATGTAAAATTAAATTATAAAAACTGGCTTGAATATTTAGATGGAGGAGCCGTTTGGAAGTGGTTTATTTAGGCGAACCGGCAGTGACCCACAACGGGGAGACATCAAGCGTGAAATTCACTGGAAATTAGCACCAGGGTCCTGGACTCGGCATGAATAGTTTGATAGCATGCAAATCCCCGCGACGTTAAACTGCAGCACCGCTTGTGCTACAGGGTCACTCGCAGTTGGTTTTTCATGTTTTACTTATTATTTTTTCCTGGGACAGGTTATAAATAACAATAATAATAAAAAAAAGAATCAGGAGAATGAAAAGGCTGCTCTAAATCTCTGATTACCTGGATGTTGAATGACGGTACTGCTTGTATGTAATGGGTTTAGGAGGGACGTGATGTGTCTGCAGCCAGGATGTGCCTGGTGTTTACCTTCAGGTCCTATCTGACAATCCAGCCAAGCTGATGAGATCCGTTCCAGCTTTGGAGGTTCAGGGCACGCTGCCCAACGCCATGGAAATGCAAAAAGCTCTCTGCAGCCTTTCTAGCATGCTTGATGCATCTGACTGCCAATATTTACACGTACAGTGTAATGATAACAGCTTCCAGCAGATTTCATGTCTACGTGTGGTAGACGCTGATGCGCACTGCAGCTGAGTGGGCAGGCAGAGAATGGGGAAGTGTGCTGCGAGCGCTGCCCTGCTGAATAACAAACACCCCTGTGGTTCCTAGAGGACTTCTGCAGCATTTCTGTCTTGCAAGTGGCTCATTGTACTGAGGTTTAAATTAATAGGGGAATTAAATTTGGCCCAGAAATAGCGAATTCTAGGTTTTTCAGGCTTAACGTAAGCAACTTCTTTGCAGGAACGGTTGTGCAAACAGCCTGCTCTTAAAATGTGTGTGGTGGTCTTTGCTGCAGGGGTGATGATGTAAGAGGTTGGGTTTTAAGAAGAGTAAGTTTGTTAGTTACAGGATGAACAGCTTACAAAGTCTGCAGCCCACACGGGCAGCTCAAGCATGGAGCAGTGGGTGCCGTGGAACCCTGGCATCGTTTGCCACCTGCCACAGTTAAATTTGATGCGCTGTTCTCCATCGTAAGGGTGGAAAAGGCAGCAAAACTGCAAATAGCAGGTGACGGTCACAGTGTGGCAAACGTTTCGTAGTTTCACACTCAAATACAATATTAATGTAAATTGGGGAGGTTGTGTGTTCTGGTGACTGGGCACAGGGACTGCAGGCAGGTCCCTTGGGCTGTTCTTGCAGTATTTCTATGGTCTTCATCAAGTCTACTTACATTTTACCTCTTACAAGTAGACATTCTTTAAGAGTACCCACTTTGCTGAAACGGTGGGTGATGGAACAGTTGAGACGGAGGGAAGAAAAACCCCTACAGAAGAGCAGAGACCCTTCCTTAGCCTGTGCCGGCTGCTGCTCCTCTCGGCCGCTCTCTGGAGCTCAGCAGCTTCCGTGGCCTGGGGCTGCACGTGGGGACGGTCAGGTTGGTCGTCTCATCCTTTTTTGGGCAAGACTTCGTCTTCGTTAGCGGAAACTGTTACCTTAAGAGGAAATCTGCAGTGGAGTTTACAGCCTGATCTGAAACCAGTGAGGTGTGTCTGTAGCCCAAGAGTGCAGCAGCAGGTCCCCCGACCTCAGTGGAAGTTCTGAGCGTGCAAGACAAGCCAGCAGTTGCCTAAAATCCATATACAAAATATTACACTAAGGCTGCTGGGATGTTCCAGGGAAATGAAATGCTGTACTGCAGGATCATAGAACCATAGAACGGTTTGGGTTGGAAGGGACCTTAAAGCCCATCCAGTTCCAACCCCCTGCCATGGGCAGGGACACCTTCCACTAGACCAGGTTGCTCCAAGCCCCATCCAGCCCACAAGGAGTAAGCGTGTACAGGACTGCATAGCAGTGAAGTTCATGCTTCTGCACAGCTTTGAAAGTCTGATCCTGAGAGTATTGCAGTACCAAAATAACTTCCTGTCCTTGCTGAAGCCTCCTGGCAAACCTGAAAGAGATTTGGAGCTACATACAGAAAGCAAGTTTCTCTCACTTTGTCTGCTTCTCCTCCTTCTGCCTTGTGCAAACAAGTAGCACTTCTTTTTTCTATGCTTAACCTGAGTAAAATATATACCCTTGGCAGGAGTGAAAAATGTATTGCTAATTACACAATTATTTTATTATGTAGCACTAGTAAAAAATGTCTAGTAAAGAATTAATTCAGTTAAAATAATTTGAATCAAGCAATTATTTTCTTAACACTAGAATTAGCTGAAAGTACTTCAAGTGGTTTATTACTAGCACTACATAATAAAATAATTGTGTAATTAGTAATAAATTTGTCACCCCTTTTGAGGCCTTTTTCTTTGCTCAGGACAAAGGGAAAGGTTGGAGTTTTGTTTGGTTCTCAGTTCCCACTGTCTCTGCCAGAATTTATGTTTATTCACAATTAGAGGAAATAAATTGTTCTCCTCTTCATCAGCATTTGACATTTCTTAAATAACATGAAACTCCTTTTCGTGGGTACTGAGACACGACCTTGCAAAGGAACTGGAGAGATCACATCAGTGCCTACAGTCCTACTATATAGAGACCTTATATATACCTCTCTTGTTCGCTCGCTCCGTGTGCATTTCCCACAGAGTTAGGTGCTCAACTGTGCTCATGTTAATGCTTGACATTAACCTGGGTTTAAATGATGAAGGGGACCTTGGCTGGGGTCTCTTTCTTCCCTGGAATTGATGGCTTCCTCAAATGATACAAGGATTTCAGATGGATAAAAGTGTCTCAGTCTTTTAAGACTGTTAGGGAAGGCCAGCGTGTGCGCCTGGCCCGTACACGCAACCCCCTTGGATTTTCTGCTCTGTGCATCGCTATTTCAGTGACCAGAAAAAACTAGGCAAACTGGGAGGCACTAAGCAAAGAACAAAGATGATGAAGGGGATTGAAAATACTGTCCTGGGAGAGATGAGAGATGAATACCTAGAGTGTGTCTAAGGGAAAAAAAAACCACTGAAAAGCCAGCTGCTATTTATAGCAAGCCCGAAGGAGTAGAGAGATTATGTAGGGGTGATGCAAGGAGTAGTAATATGAAATTAATAGGGATGGGGAAGGAAGGGAAATCTGGCTGAATATGGAGGAAAATTTCATCAATTTGGCTGTGGAAATGCCCCTAAAGAAGCAGTAGATTTATTGTTTGGGATTTCTAAATGAAAGCTTTAAAAAGCACTGGGAAAGAAACGTAGGATGCAGTCCTGTGTGAACAAAGAGGTTCACACAGGAACTAGATGATCCTAATAAGGATTTTTCATTTCTTGTGTATTTGATTTGATATTTCTACATATAATTATCTGTAAGAAAATATATATATTCGAGGGTGCCTGTTTCCATTACAAACTGTATCCATTATAAACTATATCATCTCATACAAATTCTTTTGCCTTTCTTTTTTCTCTTTTATTTAAATCACCTTTGGGGCTGATATTTTCAATGTACTGTCTTTACACAGTGGAGTTATTCTTATTAATTTTGAGTAAAATGCCTTAAACAAATTTTAATACAAGAGGTGCAGAATGCTATTTCACATCTGAACCCTTCCCACACACTAATTTTTATAAGATATGCAAAAGGTCTGCTGCCACGCACATGACGTGGATCGTGGTACGGGTCCATGGTAGGATGTCTGGAGCTACGCTCGGATCGAGGGCAGGAATTTCTGCCTTCCCAAACTGCTGTAATACTCGCTGGGTCTGCTGGAAGGGTGGACTGTCACCAGGACATGTGGTGTGGGTCTGGCTGGTGTGGGCTGAGGACCCTGCGGTTCGTGTTGCGTGAATAGATGTGGTTACGCAGGATGTCACCAGACCAGATCTGCAGAGCGGAGGCCGGGCGTCTGGGAGCAGGACAGATGTGGGAACATCTCCTTGCTGGGACCACCTCGCCCAGGGCTGGGTAACGCCAGCCAGAGCTTGCAGTGTTGTAGCAGGGGGTGGTGAGAAGAGCTGAATAGTTGTGGTTTTTCCCAGGTTGACCAAGCGTGGCAAGGCGGAAGCACGGACAAGCTGTGACTTCACGTGCTGTGTCCTTTTTCTGCAGACATGTACGACCAAGTGCTCAAGTTCGGTGCCTACATCGTGGACGGCCTGAGGGAGTACCGTCAGCCTGTGCTTATTTACATCCCGCCGCAAGCGGAGCTGAGAGGAGGATCCTGGGCTGTGATTGACCCTACCATTAATCCCCGTCACATGGAGATGTACGCAGACCGAGAAAGCAGGTATGGCAGCTTCCTCCTCCCTCCGGAACCGTCTGCTTTGAGGCATAATTATCTGGCAGAGTGAGAAGATCTCTGTTAGGCATTTTGTTCCTGAAAGGCACTGACCACTTTCCCGTCATAACCCATGTCTCGGAGGAGTCTGCTGTGTAGGGATCACAGACAGGACAATTTGGGTAGTCTCCTGACTCACTTAGATGGGGGTAAATTCTGTAGCGGTGTGAGCCAGCCTCTGCGACAGTGAACTACTGACATTCACAAAGCACAGTGAGATGTTGGTCCTTCAGATGGCTTTTTTTACCACCCTGCTATTTCCACACGCTGCTTTGCGCTTTGAAACAAGTGTCTGTGTATGCAATTTTGCATGTTTCATAAGTGTAAGTAAGTGTGTACTTTCAAATCCCCAAGTGTTGTACTGGCTGTTGTACGGGCACTTGGGTAGTTGCACTTTTTTAATTAACTACAACTTGCGGAAGTGAAGTTCTAGTTCCTGGTGGCTCAGGATATAAAACTACAGACAAACTTTTGGAAGCAGGTTTTTAAAAATATTTTAAAGAATCTGAGATACTGAATCATTTGGAGGAAAAAGCCAGCCCTAGCTGGGCTACCTCTAGCAGAAGGTGTGTAGAAGGACAGCATGAATACTCTGCTGTCAGGGCGTCGTCGCAACTCCTGCCATCTCAGCAGGGGAAAATTCCTGGGCAGCTGCTACAAGAGGAGGGAAAAAAGGGCATGTGGGCAGGAGTTGAGAGGATGTCTTTTTCCAGTGCCCATTTCCCTTGACCTTCCCAGATGAATTTTGCTCTTGACGGGATGCTTGCCTCTCTCTCTGTGCTAAAGAAGCAAGACAGAAAGACCTGTGGTCCAATGGCCTTGGTATTTCCTGCATCTTGAGCAAACACTGTCTAATCTTCACCTCCTGAAGTCAGAAGTTTTTGCTGTTCTTTTCCTGCTTAGAAATGTGGAGCCTGTTGGCTTCACAGCTAGACACAGTGTGAGCAGGATTCCTACAAGCTACTTCCCTCACCAAGTGTTTTTTGGGCTGCATACAGGAGCAGCTCCCTCCCACTGCTTCTGCCCCATGCCTTTCCCCTTGGAAATCTCAAGACAGGCCCCCAGCTTGCAAGACGTGGGGAAGGACCGTGTGTGGTTTGCAGAGCTGTAGTTGGACTGTCAAGGTCTTGAGCTCTAGTAGCCAAGAAAGAGATTATTTTGCAAAATACATCATCCTGTCCCTAAGCATTTGTAATAATTCTCATCGCTGTTGCCACTCCGTAACCCTCAGCACTGACCTTCCTCCTCGTCATTGCTCCCACCTTCACAGAGTGAAGTGATTTTATTTACCAAGCCCAAGTTTCAATACATGCTCCTCTGGTTTTGACCTGGGAAGGGGGCAGGATCTCTGATGAAAGCGGCTGGTTAATTGGTCTGTGTCATAAGGCTTACCTACCTTTTGAAAGAGCTTTCAGGTCACGGCTTAAAGCAGACTGCTAAAGAGCACTGCTTGCACCAGGCTGTGCTGTGTGCTGTTGGATAGACGGGTTTCTGTGAAGCCTGGTGTGTGTTTGTGGTGCTGGATAAATAATAGCTAAGATTCTTTCTTCTTCTCTCTTTGTTTTGTCTCCCTTTCCCCCTTCTCTTTTTACCTGCTTTATAGATAACATTGAACCATCCCATTTAGTGTTGCCCCTTGTCTGATGACCTCAAAGTACCTTTCTTTTCTCTTTTCCCATCACCGATCAGAGGAGGAATCCTGGAACCAGAGGGGACGGTAGAAATCAAATTCCGCAGGAAGGATCTAGTGAAGACGATGAGGCGAGTGGACCCCGTCTACATCCGCCTGGCAGAGCGGCTAGGTACGGCTGCGCGGGGGCTGGCGGAGCGGTGACCCTTCACCTGGTGGCTAATGGATGGGTTCGTAGACCTGAAAAGGGGGCATTGAGGCATTTTATCAGATTCATGCTAATTTTTATTTACTGCCATCTGACTTGGGAAGAAAACCAGGTGAGACAAGCTGCACGTCTGTGCGTGTGAGGGAGATGGTATTCACATGCATTTAGCGTGCCTAGGGAGTAAGAAATCAGTGTCTTTTTGAACTGTTTTCCCTTTTTTTGTTTTTATTGAGCGGATCTTACAACAGACACCTGCTACGAGTGCTTGATTCTAGTTTCCACCTCAACAATTGCTCGGTTCACTAAAAGCTCCTGGGCCAAACCTTTGGCTGGTGTCATTTGGGGTAACTAAGAATTTGGTCCAAGACATTTTGGGCTGCTGGACTATCACTGTGTGTCTGAGGTAGTTTGAGTAATGATATCTGTCTGATCTTCAATGTTGGGAAAATAAAAATTTTCTTCACCTCCTCAGTAAAGCGCGGGGTGATGCGCGGTGCTCAGAGGCGAGCACGTCACTGCGGGTGTTGTATCACTGGGGCCTTTTGCTCCAGATGGTCCCGGCGCCTGCTATACACCCAACTACCCAAAATACAGAGCGCTCAGCAAAATGCACTTAATATCAGAGATGTACTCTCCCGGGGGAATGGACTGTTTACTAGCTCTTACTGTAAGAGTATAATCTTACAGAGCCTCGTTATACCTCCAAAATGGACTACATTTCAGTAGTGGGAGAAGCATGCTACATGGGTATGGTTTGAATTTATAAAGCCTTTTGGGATCCTTCAGGAGGAAAAGTGTTCTGCAAATGACTGATAAATCGTGGCTATTGCTGCAGTTACAATTTATTATTTGGCTCTTTTTAATTTATGGTGGTGCAACAATTTATATACAAAACAACCATTCGATGTGCCTTGGGAAGAGGATGATAATTGTAAAGGGTGTGGGGAGTGCCGAGAATCAGACTGCTTGCTGAAAGCCAGCTTCTTACTGATAGCATCAAAGACATTTTCTCTCTTTTTTTTAATTACAGTATTTTGACACTGTTTTCTCTCATTGCACCGATTGCTCTCTGGGCAAGAAGCAGGTTGGCCGGTGTTTGAGCTTTGCAGGCCCGCACCAGGCAGCAGTTTCATCTGAGTTCAGATCTTGCCCGTGTACATCATGTGTTCCTGCGTGAGAGGACACGGATACCCAGATGGATGGATGTGGTGTGCTGTCTGCTGGAATTAAACCCCACTTTTAATGTTTGTAGTTGCAGGAAGGAGATTCTTTTCACAAAACCTCACTTTTGCCCCATGCTGGGCTTGACAGTGACCCTTGAGGAGCGAATGGATAGCGTGACCACAGCAGGCCACAGGGACCCAGCATATGCTCCTCTCCTACAGTGTTTCACACCTCGCAGTTCAAAGGCTGCCGCGGCGTTACCTGCGCAGCGGGGGCTCCCAGCTACCCCTGCACCCGGGCGGGCGAGCTGCCTCTCCGCTGCTCTGATCACCAGGGGAAGGAGAAATCAGATGTGTGCTTAGAGGAGGCAATATGCTGAGCAGTCAGCTCGGGTCCGTGCAGATAAATGGCACCACGGCAGGAGCACTGCTTCCTGAGAGTATTTACCTTCACCCCACCATCAGAGCGCTGGCTCTGCCCACGAGCAACGGCCTCTGGGAGGAGACGGGCTCTGCCGTGCGGCAACTGCCCAACGAGTCCGTCCCCAGGAGCAGTCGCAGGCTGCTGGAGGGTCCTGGTCCTGAAGTGGTGAAGGAGGGGGGACCACAGTAAGGCGAGGAGCGCCCTTCTGTCACACCGGTGGGACCCGCACCAGCAGCCCTGGAAAAAAACACAGGGAGAAAGAGGGGAAGTGGTTTTCTGCCAACAGTCTCAAAAATCCAACACCTTGCTATGTGAGGAGACAGGAGCCTGTTCAGGGTTTTTTCCCCTCTTCCTCTACAGGGTAATTACTCCCAGCAAACTCCCTACGCTTTAATTAAAATGACTGCAACACAAGAGCAAGTCACTTACAACTGTACATAGGGAGAGCTCTAAAAGCTTCAGTCACTGATAAGCATCTCACTTAGATGGCTGGTAATTGCTCCCAACATCGCGATCACTGCTGTTGTTTTGCCGCTAATTCTGTAGGTAGCAGGAAAGCCAAGATTGCAGGACACAGTGAATTGCATAATTTTTTTTTTTTTTCCTGGTTTTCTTTCTGGCCAATTTAAAATTTGTCAAAGTCGGTCTTCTTCTGGATCACTGCCCTTTGATATTTCGCGCACTCCATTTGCCACAAACAAGCCGCAGGGCCGCAGTTCATGCTGACTCCAGCAGAAGCAGAGAAAGCTCCATTTATCTTACACTGCCTGCTGAATTCTTACTCATTAGCTGGGGGTTCACTGCCTCTCTTTAACCCCTGAATGGCTGTCATCCCTCCCCGGAGCTGCTGCGCAGGGGAGGAGAAGGGAGATGCTCTCAAACATGTGCCTGTTGCGGAGGGGTGGGGAAACGGGGCGACTGTGGGTCTCGTTCCAGGCGCCTTGAGACACTGGGGTTGGACTTGCAGTTGGGAGTGTGAGAGCAGAGAAGGCTGGCAGATATTGAATAATTTGACATAAATCTGTTCATTATCAATTCTCCAGCGCTATCGCCGAAATGTTTATTAGCCCCATGTTTTATTAAAACGTCACTCGCAGTTGTGCCGTTACCAGCCGGCAAACAGCGCGGGGCAGAGGGCAAGGAGAGAAAGGGTAGCCCTTACCCTGCCCAGGAGCAGGGTCCCACGCTGAGTAGGTGTGCGAGGAGAACTGTGATTGCCAAGCAGCGTGGGAGCGATTCAGACTGCGAGCCCCGCCCTGTAGTTAGAAACCTGGAGGTTCAATTTTATTTATTTATTACAATTAGAGTAAAACATTTAGGAGTGGGATAAAAATTGAGCCTTGTTGTGCAGATTTGGGGCATGTAATGTCTCTTGTTGCGGTGTAACGTACGCAAAAATCGGGTGGAACGTGAATGAAAGGAATGGTGAAACGGCTCCAGTTAGAGCTAAATTGGATATTGCATTTTCACATTTCTCTTATCAGGTATTTATCTCATAGTAAGAGGGAAGCATCTGCTCGTCACCTGCTACATGTTGTAATAGTGTGAGCATCCTCTTCAGCTATCCTGTGGAGCAGTTGGCTGTGTGCTGGCATGTCTCTTCAATTTAATTTGAAATTTTAAATGCCCATTTTGCCTTTGTCCATGTGCACTGTAGAAGGTGGGGGGTGGGGGGAGCATCCAGCTCCACGTGTCATCCTGCAGCACTTTGGGAAGGTTGTTTTCTGCACAAGCACCCATGCTGTGCACAACCTTTAACTTTCCATGGGTAACATCACCAGTCTGTGCTGCTGGCTCCTGACTTGCTTTGTAATTTATTTGGCTGAAGAGGGTGCAAAACTTTTCTTAACTCAAGCACTGAACCACTTTAGCGTAGCAGTTCCTCTCTGCACATGCACATACCAGGGGTCCTTTCTGGCCCCACCTGCACCAGCTGCTGAGGACTTGGCTGCGGTGGCCTGGGGACAGCCCCGACGCTGCCTTGTTTCTTGGGGGGCTGAAAACTTCCACCCTGTGACCTGTCTTGTGCCAAGCTCTAGCTTGGAAAGTTAAGACTGCAGCTCTAAAGTCTGGTAATTCTTTTCAGGGGGGAGTGAGTTGTTTGTTCCATGTTGTAATTAATCAAAATGCCGGTTGTTTTCTTCAGCAACAACTAAGAAAAATGCTGCTGTTGTGATTCCAGCTCTCCTGAAGCCTTGGACAAATGCATTCGGAGTGGCTGTAACTTTGTCTTTTAGGCGGTGCTGATTCCCAGTAACGGCTTCGATAGGCAAGTGCTGCTGCATTTAAATTGTTGTTAATTCACAATCACGAGTCTAGAAGAGCAAGTACTGATTTCTGTCAGCTCCTTCATGACAATTGGTGTCTTGAATATCCTCCCAGGAGGGCTGTAGACGTTTTCCCCCAAATGGGAGTTTTTTGGAATTACGTACCTGCCCCATTTTGCCTGTTTGCTCTGATGAAGCCCAGAAAGGACTGGGATATACGAGGGTATTTCGAGCCTGTGTCGTGAACATGCATGACCTTCACTATTTCATATTGCACCTTTATAACATAAATCCTACTGAATATTTAGTGAAGCAATTACGAGCAGTCTCATTTAAAGAAACAAGTGACAATCCAAAACTGCCTGTCTCTCCGGGGACATCAGTGACTCCCAGTGACCTTCCTTCTCCCTTCTGGAGCCGCTGCCTCTGGCTGGGATGGGAGATGTGTTGCCTGAGCAGCCTGGACACAGTTGCTGCCTTTGCTGTATTTTTGTCTGGCAAGAGCTTTGTTACAGGCAGAAAAAGGAGGTGAGATTCAAGTAGGAGTCAAAACAATGGAGCAGTCACAACCAGTCTTAAAATCCACATTTAATTATGTCATAGGATGCAGAGTAACCGCGTTGCGTCTCCCAAGTTCATTTCCAAAGGACCCGTCCAGCGCATGCTGGGTGGGATCCAACTGCTTCACTGAAAAGAGCGGCCACGGGCCCCACGCTGCTGCTCACCAGCCCTCATTCCCTGCTGTGCCCTGGCTGGGCCGGGCTGGGGCGAAGCAAGTCCGTCGGGTTGGAGCCCAGGTCTTTGAGTGCGTGTCGGAGGAAGAGGCAAGAAAACGGACAAGTAAATGCTTGGCCGTGCTAAGGCTGTGCCGCCGAGGGCGAGGGAGAAAATCCCCCTTTTTAACAGCTTAGAAGCCATAAACCATCAAATTGATTCAGAAGCTGCCTGGCTTCCTGCAATCAGAGGGAACCTACAATAACATTCCTTGAAGTCATTTTGTCTAACCTGTTAAACTGGTCATATTTAAAAAAAGCACTTTGCTACTAGATGTTATGGGAAGCCGTGATTCATGGTCCTGCTGAGCCATTTCCGTCTGGCAGGAAGTTTATTAGAGGCAGCCGGCGCAGTGCCACGGCAGCGGGCAGACGCTGCTGCCCCCCCTGCGATCCCCCCCCGCCGCAGGGATGCTCGGGGACACCGGAGGGATGCTCGGGGACGCCGCCTGCTTCGGAGGAGAGTCTTTCTTTAATGGGGCACAAATCAAAACAGTTTAGATATAGCTTTCCCTGCCGTGATGCTTTCCCTTAACTTTTGTCGAGGGGTATAAATTGATATTCAATATCAGAGCGCTTTACAGGAGAGGTCCCTCAGCGGATTTATTGCGGAGGCTTTTCCATTTGTCTGCACGGGGAGGGCGACTCCTGGAGCCTTCCTCCACGAAGGCGGGCTGTAAAGCACGCGTCCATGGCCCTGCCGCAGCACCCGGCAAGTGCTGCTCCGCAGGGTGACTGAAGGGCTGGTTTTGGCATCTGCTGTTCTGTGCCACCGGGCTACTGAGAGCCCCTCTCTGAGGTCTGGGGGCCTCTTACGGTTTTGTAACCCCGAAAGCCGGGCTGTAGCAGCTGGATGGGGAGGCTGGTGTCACCCTGCAGAGTGACGGTGAAGATGGGGTCAGACCAGGGGCAGGTGATGGGGAGAGAGACAGGCACCAGCGGCCAGCTTCCTGCAGGAGGTATTTGGGAACATTTTAGGTGAAATACTTTTTACGTGTGGTTTTAAACTAGTTTTTCATAGGTTTAACTGGGCATGTTTGAGTGGAGGGGTTTTAGCGAGGACAAATCACTGTCCTGTTGATCATGAAGAATTTTTTGTTGGGTGGAGGGCATTTTGGCAAGACGCTGTCCACTGCTCGTTGGGCCTCAGAAGAGTCACTCTCGTGGTTTTGGTACGCCCAGGGCATTTTTTCAACTTGTTTAAGGCCGTTTTGCTGTTGATCAAAAAGAGAATAAAGAAGAGACACCGTAGAATGAAGAGGTATTGGTGCATTTACCACTGTGGGTAGGCTTTAAAGGTGTCGAGAGCTGGATTAAGACATCTACCTGGCCCCTTCCGATCATGCCAATGGCTGTGATCATACCAGCACTATATATAGATACGGGCGTGCTTGGAGACTGCAGAGCAAACTGCAATCCAAGATGAATGTGACATTTTATGGCACTTAGAGTGCAGCCTGAGAAAGCGTCCTGTGCTGCCTGCCAAGTTAGGAAGGTCACACGTGTTCTTTCTGCCTTTAAATTGTTGCCTTGTCTTACCTGCGTGCCCCACCTGCATGCCAAAGCCCTCTGCGCTTTGTGTTTGCGTGGCCATCTGGCTGTTTCAGAGTGCTGCTGCTTTTGTTTCTCTATTGATTAGTGGCCAATCCATACCTAGAGGTCTATAATGTTCCTATGATTTAAACTTTAACAGTTTCATTAACTGTCAAGTACCTTTAGAGCAAAGGAATCCCATATTTTAACTCCCTTCTCCTTACCAGTGTAAGATTTGTGGAAGGAGACTTCTTTTTCCAAGAAATAAATAAATAAAGCCCCAGCTTTCTGAAAAACCCTGAGGCCTCAAGATCTGACTAGGAAAGAAAGAAAACCATTCCAAGATATTTAATTGTACAGGGTGCTTACAGGATTGATCGAGAGCTTAGCTTTTTACAATAGTCCAGTGAATAAGAAATGCTCCTGACAAACGATCGATGATGGGATAATCACTCTTTATCCCCCCTCCTCATTGTTACCTTCTTTCTTCCAGGAGAACAGGGTTCAGAAGTCAAAAATCTTTATAGACGCTGCTTTTAAATTAAGCAGAAAATAGACATTGACATATTTGTTAATCTCACCTAAATCATTACTGGGCCTGGCTGGTTTGACTGTACACCGGGAGTGTGGCGGATAGGCCGGAACACACCAGCGTTGCTGGCTTCACTGCACGCATTGCCATTTAGAATGGGGAGGTGTAGGAGCCTGTGAATTCAACGTGGATAAATACAGAGCATTTTTTATTCTGAAGGTTATAAGAGTAGCTTCTCTTAATTAAAACCTTCTCACTGGCATTTGAAAGGTTAGGTAACATTTATACTGGTAGGCACATAAAATCATTCCTTCCCTAGAAAGAAGCGTTGTACGGCTGGCCGCTGGCTGGGGAATGGGGAGGAAATGCCAACGGGTAGCGTGAAGCAGGAGAGAGCAGGGTCTGTGTGCAGTGGGCCTCTGGAGGTGGGTCTGAGCCACAGCCCCGGTGTCACGGTGCTGTGCGTCAGCTGCTGCGCCCACCGGTGCCAGCCGGTCAGCCCTGGGTTGTGGTGTCCGTGGGAGGTCAGCCGGGGTGCTCGGGGAAAGGGCAGGAGCGTTGTGCGAACGCGGCGTATGCTTCCCAGGGATGCCCTCTCGGCCCCCAGCAGTTCTGTGCTTCCTGGGGAGGGACTCTCCTTGCCTAAGTTTGTCCGATGGCTTTCTGTGAGCTCATCTGTGCTTTCGGTACTCGGGACCTCCAGTGGCGAAGGCTCCAGCCATTGGATTTGGCACTGTGGGAAAGTGTTGCCTCTTGCTGGGCTTTTTGTAAAGCATCTGCCCGCTGATTTCATCCTGGTTTTGTTGGGAGGGACTTGGATCGCTCTGGCTTCCCGCTGCCATTCCAGAACCTCCTGTTTTCAGGCTGGAGGATACCCATCACTCAGCCGTCCTCCTGCCCTCTCCCAGCCATTGCCTTCCCGTCACCCAGCCTGGAAGCGTGGCAGTTTAATGGAATGGTAGATGTTGCATTTAATGCCATTGACATTTCCTTCACAAACGATAAAGATCGAAACCGAAAAAGCTTGGTGGTGTTCACACACCACTAAATGCAGTTGCGGTACTCGGGCTACAGGATACCAAGGGCAGGAACGTTGTCCTCCGGCTGAATCAGTGTTTGTTCCAGGTTCTCCAACTGACTGCTTGTGCTGCTGGGCACATCTCTGTTTCAGGCCTCAGCTCCCCTCTGTACCCTAACGACAAGCCGTGCTTGCGCTCTCCCGGCTGCAGGGGCGGTTGCATTTGAAGGGAAGGTGCCGTGGGACAACCCACCAGTGCTTGGAGCAAGGCCCATCCATGACCTGGCTTCAGGCTGGCAGCGGCCTTGGCTTTACAAGGGGAGGTGGGATGGGAGGCAGCTGCCTCTGAGGCCGTGAACTTGCGACCAGGGCTCCCGGTGGGGGTGGGAGGTTAAAAAATGGCACGATTCAGCAGAATATGCAGTACCGTGTAATTTGGCTCAGACTGCAGTCTTGGCTTCAAATGAGCCAAGATTGGCTCTAAATACTCTGCCTCTGCACAAGGACCTCTGGCACGTCTCTTGTCAAGGCGGGGTGGGGGAGCATCGACCTGCTCCTGGGCCAGCTGTGACCTGGTGTAAATGACTGCAGGCTCAGTGGAGAGTTGTCCTTACGGGTACATTCCCTGTGGCCTGTCCTGGGGAGAGGAGGGATGTACATTCCCGTTTGACTGAGGGGCAGCTGTGGGAGGGAGCACCTTGTTCTGCTGCCGGCAACGGTGGGAGCAGCACCGTGTCTTTCCCCTTGCACGGCTTAGTCTGGGTCAGGCAATTCCAAAATCAATCCGCAACTCCTCAACGTGTGGTTTTGTTTTAATCAAAGTTAATTTTATCGGAGCTGAATGGTTTAAAAGAAATGGAAAACGATGAACTCCACAGGAGATTATCTTCCTGACGCAGTTCTGTTCTTGTCGGTCGTGGTAGTCTGGTGTGTGCCAGTCTCTGGCAAACCGAATGTGAGCGGTTTGGGCATCGCTGGCACAACTTGTGTGTTTTCCTGGAGGAGACAGTGGCTCTACAGCTACTGGCAGCAACTGGCCTACAAGAAAACTTGAAATTGTGTAGGTGGTTTTACCTCGTCCACGTTTCTTGCTAAATGAACTGCGTGTTGGGACATTATTCTTTTTTAGGAGTAAGTCCAGTAAATGTCACTTAATTGATGGCTCAGCTCATTGGCATTTAAATGGAAAAGAGTTTCCATGGTGAAAACTCCTTCCAAGCTCTTGCCTGCATATTGCTGGCGGGAAATCTGGGCTAGAACACTTGACATTTGACTCAAGGTTCTGCTTGGCATTGCTGGGGGCTGGCGGTGTGCTGTTTGTCCTGGTCAAAAGCAGTCCGGGTTTCACCGGCATGCTGGGACAGAGGAAACCTCCGCTCTCCCTGGACTGTCCCTCGCCTTTCCTCCGTGCAGCAGCGCACCCCCTGCTTCCCCCTGCCCGATGTCTCTTGACACGTGGCTGTGCCTGGTTGCAGGTACCCCGGAGCTGAGCCCCGCCGACCGAAAGGAGCTGGAGACCAAGCTAAAGGAGCGGGAAGAATTCCTGATCCCCATTTACCACCAGGTAGCCATGCAGTTTGCCGACCTGCACGACACACCCGGCCGGATGCAGGAGAAGGGGGCCATAACTGTGAGTATCGGGGGGCTCTCCTAGTGCTGTGCCTCTTTCTGCAGAAAGACTTCTGGTAGACCAGGGTGGCTGGATGGGGCTCCTGACGGGGTGGAAATCTCCAAAGCTCAGACATACAGGCTTTGTATTCCCATCCTGCAGGCGGTACAGCTAAGCATCTAACGACTGTTAGCCTTTTTTTTGCCACTGGGCGTAAGACACGTATTTCTCCTCATAAATGTCCCTCACTCATTTCTCCTTCCTGGGCAGGACATTCTAGACTGGAAAACTTCCCGCACCTTCTTCTACTGGAGATTAAGACGCCTTCTTCTAGAAGACGTGGTCAAAAAGAAGATCCATGATGCCAATCCTGAGCTGACTGATGGGCAGATCCAGGCTATGCTGAGGCGCTGGTTTGTGGAAGTTGAAGGGACAGTGAAGGTAAATGAAAAAACGTTTCACGGAGGCTGTACTCTTCCCTAGGCTTAAACTGAGTGAAGTTCTCCCAGGTGGAGTTTGACCTCTGGGTTTTAATTGGAATGCTCACATTTTAGGTGATGAAAGGGAACTTCTGGGTAATATGCCAGCTCATGAGTTGTTTTATGGGGATGCTTTTTGTAGCAGGCCAGGAAAGCAAAACAGTGGGTTTTCCCCAAGCAGGCAGCACCCTTGGTATGAAAATCGGAGCGTCTTCCGACGACGCACAGCTCACTCGGCAGGCGAGGCAGGGCGGCGTGTCGGGGGGCTGCGCAGAGGTGCTGCTGCTGCCGGAGCTGGCGGGGAGCAATCCCGGGAGTCACAGCGCGAGCTCCGTACACCAGCCCCGGACACCCCCATCTTCCTGGCTCTGTGCACAGCGTGCCAGTCCCGCACACCCTCGGGATCCGCCGGGATGTGAGAGCAGGAGTTCACTCGGCAGGCGAGGCAGGGCGGCGTGTCGGGGGGCTGCGCAGAGGTGCTGCTGCTGCCGGAGCTGGCGGGGAGCAATCCCGGGAGTCACAGCGCGAGCTCCGTACACCAGCCCCGGACACCCCCATCTTCCTGGCTCTGTGCACAGCGTGCCAGTCCCGCACACCCTCGGGATCCGCCGGGATGTGAGAGCAGGAGTTGTATTTGTTCTTTAATTATT